GTGCCTTAACCTCACCCTCCAGGACATCCCAGAACTCTCCCACTTTTCTGTTTCAGAGGGTAGCCCTGTTGGCCTGTAGGAGAAGAGCTAGGTTCGAGTCCTGCAGCACCTTGGAGACCCGACAGAATTTTTGGCATATCAGCTTTCAAGAGTCAATGCTCCCTTCGTCAGATACGAGAGCTCTTGTATCCGACTGAGGGAGCATTGACCCTTGACAGCTCCTGCCCTGCACTTCTTGTTAGTTTCTGAGGTGCTGCTGGACTCGAATCGAGCTGTTCTGTTTTCCCGTGAGGCCATGCCTTGCATGAGGAGATTGACAAGCTGTCATCCGGGACAGCTTCTCTGCCGCCGTGGCTCTTCTTGTTAAGGAGCCTTTGACCAGCTCCCACGAAGTCACGGGATTCCCTGCATTTCGGAAATCGTTGGCTTTGCTCTAAGTTTTTGAGACCTTGGGATTTCTCCGCATGCCTCCGCTGTCCGAAGTTCGGTGGGCGGCCTGGCTAAATGGCAGCGACCACCTGTGGGGCTCATCAGCAAAAACGGAGCTCTCAGAGGTGGCGGGAGAGATTTGACCTGCTGCCGCTGTCCTTTTTGTTTTTGACCTTTGTGCTTTCTCTGTCATTTGCTGTTCAACTTCCCTATAGCCAGTTTGGTGTAGTGGTTAAGTGTGGTTTGGTGGTTTGGTTAAGTGTGTGGACTCTGATCTGGGAGAATGGGGTTTGATTTCCCACTCCTCCACTTGCAGCTGCTGGATGACCGTGGGCAAGGCATAGTTCTTTCAGAGCTGTCCTTGAAAGGGCAGTCCTCGAGAGAGCTCTCTCAGCCCCACCTACCTCACAGGGTGTCTGTTGTGGGGAGGCGGAAGGAAAGGAGATTATAAGCCGCTCTGAGACTCTGAGTGAAGGGCGGGGTATAAATCCAGTCTCTTCTTCTTCTTTGTTTTAATTTTTTTGTAAATTAACTTGTTCGCTGTCACAGCAAAAGGTGGGATGTGAAAGGGCTGGATTGTGCAGATCGTTTCCATCGATGGCACCTCCTCTGCAGGAGAAGGCTCTTGGTAAGTGGGGCCAGATGCTGCCGGTTAGCTGAACTGCGCCACGGAATCCGACGCAAATGTCTTAATAACATAATCAGAGCATGGGGCTCTTCCAATCGGAATGACGCAAGCAGTGCCGTTCCCTTTTGCCCAGGCTGTCTTGTCTCGCCAGATGGCTGTTGAGCAGCCGCGCCGAGCAGAGAGCAAGAGAAGCCCCCAAACAGTCTCCGGTCAAGCTGACAATCGCAGAGGGCCGAACCGAGCAGATGCCGGGACCGTGAATGGCACAGCTGGGACACAGGGGGTCGGCTTCAGCTCGAAGGGTTCATTTCTAGGTTGCAGGTGGCACCGTTGTGGAAGGTGCTGACAGAGCGGTGAGGCGAAGAGGAGGGAGCAGGCGGCTGGCTCCGCTCTCGTTCAAATCACCTCCCCCTGGCTGGCATCCTTTCTGGCAGTGCCATCTGGAGAAGGGGCACCGGGGGGGGGGGAGCCTCGTGGCCTCTATGCAGAGAAGCTCCGGCAGCTCTCCAGCCGGCAGAGGCCTCGGATCAGGTTGCCTCCCACGTGCCACCTTCCTCCGCTTTGTGGATGTCCACCTGGCTCTGTGCCCGGCCTCTCTCCGCTACGGGACTCACCTCTCGCCTGGTCAGCTGAGACGCCAGTGACAGGTGGTCTGCCTGTGAAGGGCCGTGTCCCTCAACTGTTCTCTTGGCGGTGGGGGGGGGGATTGACCCGCTGTGCCCCTCTTGCTTGCAGCTTTTGGTCCCTCTTTGAAGAAGAAGAAGAAGAAGAAGAGGAGATTGGATTTATACCCCGCCCTTCACTTGGAGTCTCAGAGCGGCTTACAAACTCCTTTCCCCTCCCCACAACAGACACCCTGTGAGGTGGGTGGGGCTGAGAGAACTCTGACACAAACTGCTCTTTTTCAAGGACAGCTGTGCCAGAGCTTGTGACTGACCCAAGGTCACATCAGCAGGTGCGAGTGGAGGAGTGGGGAATCAAACCCGGTTCTCCCAGATTAGAGTCCGCACACTTAACCACTACACTGCACAATTAGATTTGAGTCCAGATAAGTCCTTAGAGACTTAACAAGAATTTCAGGATTTCAGCTTTCAAGAGTTCAGAGCTCCCTTCGTCAGACGCAATGGAACAGAAGTGGAGATCTGAGTCTTATTATCCCAGGCAGAAGGCGGGAGGGGGTGTTGCAAAGGATGCTTGCAGAGGATGGGAAGGTATCCTGCAGGCTGGAATCAGCTTGGTTACAGCAGAGGGGGGAAAGCTTGGGGGCAGAGAGTTAGCATCCGCAGTGAGATTAAAGATCCGGTGCCCCTAACTGTTCTGGTGCAGCAGTAGAAACGAGCAAGACTCCAGTAGCGCGTGAAGAAGTGAGGAGTGACTGGCGAAAGCTCCTCCCCTGCCACAAACCTTGGTAGTCTTGAAGGGGCTCCTGGACTCTTGCTCTTCTCTACTGCTGCAGACAGACTCACACGGCTGCCCCTCTTGATCCGTCTCCATGGAAGGCACCACATTGAGCCGTACAGAATGGAAATCCATCAGCCTTGTGAAGAAACTTGCACAGAGGCAAACGGACATCATCTTTCTCACCGAATGCAGGAGACTTAACATTATACCAAAGGGACTGGGAATTATAAAATCCACTACAGTCTGGAATCTGAAGAAGTGGCTCATGAAAGCTCATCCCCTGCCATAAGTGTCGCTACCCCCACACTGGTTCTCCACCACCCCTCTGTCCACTAGAGGCACCTTGTGAGGCAGGTGGGGCTGAGAGAGTCCTGAGAGAACTGAGATGGGCCCAAGGTCACCCAGCGGGCTTCATGTGGAGGAGGAGGTGGGGGAATCAAACCCGGGTTCTCTAGATTGGAGTCTGCCGCTCTTAACCACTACCCCTGTGCTGTCCCTTTGTGTGTATGTGTATATGTCCCAAGCAGTGCTCCCTCTAAGCTGTGGAGTCTTGTGAGCAAACATTCTGCTTTGTGAGCTACTGGCATTAAAGTTGTGAGCCAGCGATTTGGCTACTACATAAATTAGTTTGTTCTGGAGCCATCCTTCCTGAGCTAAGACAAGAATGTGTGCGCTGGAGGCTGAAAAACTGTGAGCTGGCTCACACTAACTCAGCTTAGAGGGAACAGTGGTCCCAAGCCCTTCCCAGTTCTAGCTGCCCAGGTCAGGTGGGTGTCTTTCCCCTGGGCCCGGAATTCGGCTTTCAAGCAGCAAGTCGGCTGTGGTGAATGCTTTATTTAACACATGTGTGTGTCACCTTTCTACCGAACACAGGGCCTCCGAGAAGGCAAGCAAACAAAACTAAGACTGCCCTTGAAATACAGATAAATTTATATACAATTACTTAAAACAAATAAAATGCACAAAAGCGGGGGGAGAATGAGAGTTAGTGAGGGAATGCCGTACAAAAGAGTCTTCTCCTGCTATTAGAAAACGATGATAGAAGGGGACAAACAAACGTCCATGGGAAGAGACTTCCAGTGTTTTGGTGCCGCAACTGAGAAGGCCCTCGCCTTAGGAGGGCGGGGCGCCCAAAGCTGGGCCTTCGCCAATGACCGTAGAGGTCAAGGATAAGAACATAAGAGACGCCAATGTTGGATCAGGCCAAAGGCCCATCCAGTCTGTATCACACAGTGGCCAGAAATACCAGTGCCATCAGGAGGTCCACCAGTGGGGCCAGGACATTAGAAGCCCTCCCACTGTTGACCCCCCCCCCAAGCACCAAGAAGAAAGAGCATCCCTTGCCCCAGAGCCCCTATCTATACCTTGTGGCTAATAGCCACTGATGGACCTCTGCTCCATATGCTTATCTAATTCCCTTTTGAAGCCGTCCATGCTTGTAGCCGCCACCACTTCCTGTGGCAGTGAATTTGTGCTTCTGTGGGTGTAGGTGGGCCTGAAGCGAGTACCTTTGAAGGTTATGATGTGCCAAGGAAGCCCTTGCATGGCATTGGAGGCCTATGTGGGTCTCTTGGGTGGGAGGAAGGGACTGCCCCTAGTGCTCTTAAGAACATAAGAGATGCCAATGTTGGATCAGGCCAAAGGCCCATCCAGTCCAACACTCTGTGTCACACAGTGGCCAGAAATACCAGTGCCATCAGGAGGTCCACCACTGGGGCCAGGACATTAGAAGCCCTCCCACTGTTGACCCCCCCCCCCCCAAGCACCAAGATGACAGAGCATCACTTGCCCCAGAGCCCCTATCTATACCTTGTGGCTAATAGCCACTGATGGACCTCTGCTCCATATGCTTATCTAATTCCCTTTTGAAGCCGTCCATGCTTGTAGCACCCACCACTTCCTGTGGCAGTGAATTCCAAGTGTTAATCACTCTTTGGGTGAAGAAGTACTTCCTTTTATCCGTTCTAACCCGACCGCTCAGCAATTTCATGGAGTGCCCACGAGTTCTTGTATTGTGAGAAAGGGAGAAAAGTACCTCTTTCTCTACCTGCTCTTTCCCATGCATAATCTTATAAACCTCAATCATGTCACCCCTCAGTCGTCATTTCTCCAAGCTAAAGAGCCCTAAGCGCCTTAACCGTTCCTCATAGGGAAAGTGTTCCAACCCTTTTATCATTCGAGTTGCCCTTTTCTGCACTTTTTCCAAAGCTATAATATCCTTTTTAAGGTGTGGTGACCAGACTCCCTTGGAGCATTCCCCAGTAACAGCACACGTGGCAGTGAACTGTTACATATTGATGGCACATTGTCCATGACAAGGCAATTCTGTTTGCACTCTTAGGGCCTAAACTGGAAGGTACGTAATATCTCCAAGTTCATGCAACAACTTCTGACACAAGGCCAGATATATTTGTGGCCCCAAATAGAAACTTTTTTGTGTGTCATTCAGTTCCATATTGGAACATTCCAATTTTGGTCCTGTTTTATTTATTTATTTTTTATTTATTGTTAATTGCCTTACATGTGTTACAGGGACTCTGTTGCTTGTTATATTTTGCACTATTTGACCTCTGAAGAAGGCTCTTGCGAGCCGAAACGCGGCAGGTGCATACACTGTTCTCTTTCGTGTGTATTTGTAACTTTGTACATTTTATGAGACTTTATTTGGGCCCCTACTAGGTTTTTATAATACTCTTTTGTACACTTATTACGTTTTTAACTTTTGGCTCTCTATCAGTTTTCTAAACTTTCCTTTGGAGATTAGTGAACTGTAAGGACCTTGGAAGTTTTTGGGGTGGGGAGAAGCTCATCTCTTTTATGTATCGTTAACGCCTTTCTGTACATCTGTCTCGCTCTCTTTGCAGGGGTGTCTCTCTTTGGCTTGAGTGCCCTCATTCTTCCAGGCCAATTTCCTGACTATCTGGACTTTGTCAGGTCCCTTAACGTGCCAGCGGCTCTCATCTACTCGGGGAAGTTTGCCCTGGCTTTCCCCTTGACCTACCACACCTGGAACGGGATCCGGCACCTGGTGAGCAGCAGTTGCGGGGGACGGAGGTGCCAGGTGGGCGGTTTGGGCGGAACCTTCGGGCGAAAAGGACTCTGGGCTGGATCCCGTGGCACCATTCCGCTAACGTCGACGCTGTCCCTCAGTCTAAAGAGCTTCCCTTGAGTGCATGAGGGGGAAGCGGTGCCGTTAAGGGATCCAGCTTTCCATGTTTTGAAAATCTCGTTCAAGCACCCCTTTGGTTCGGCTTCTTGCTCTCTGATGGCAAACTACGGGGCACAGCGAGGAACTGGGAATGACTGATCAGCAGATCAGTCAAGGAACTTGAGTAGTCTACGATATTTTTAATTTGCCCTCTTGCCCACACGTGTTTCCGTTCAGCCATTTGGGACTTCTAAATGAACAGAACCAGCCCTGTTCCTAACATTCTCCTTGCCTAGAGATAGTTTTCTTTTTTGCCACGAGCGACTGGCATTTATGAGCCTGGCGCAGTAAGTCTGAATTGGCAGAAGACAGAAGGTGTCAGACTGACTGCGGAGACAGAACCTGGAGCGTTGGCCTCGACGCCACAGCCTGTGCTGCACGCTCTGCCCGACATGTTAATTTTGCAGAATCAGAGAGGACCGGAAGGTCCTTCACCCCCCTCCTTGAAGGCAACACCCTCGTTTATTCTGCTCACACAACACAAACCATGAGGACACAGTGAACCAGGAGCACTGTGGCTCTTACGACAGGTGCCAGAGGCTGGCCCTTGCTCAGGCACCATTCCGCTAACGTCGACGCTGTCCCTCAGTCTAAAGAGCTTCCCTTGAGTGCATGAGGGGGAAGCGGTGCCGTTAAGGGATCCAGCTTTCCATGTTTTGAAAATCTCGTTCAAGCACCCCTTTGGTTCGGCTTCTTGCTCTCTGATGGCAAACTACGGGGCACAGCGAGGAACTGGGAATGACTGATCAGCAGATCAGTCAAGGAACTTGAGTAGTCTACGATATTTTTAATTTGCCCTCTTGCCACTCGTGTTTCCGTTCAGCCATTTGGACTACTAAATAAAAAGAACCAGCTCTGTTCCTAACATTCCCCTTGCCTAGAGATAGTTTTCCTTTTGCCACGAGCGACTGGCATTTATGAGCCTGGCGCAGTAAGTCTGAATTGGCAGAAGACAGAAGGTGTCAGACTGACTGCGGAGACAGAACCTGGAGCGTTGGCCTCGACGCCACAGCCTGTGCTGCACGCTCTGCCCGACATGTTAATTTTGCAGAATCAGAGAGGACCGGAAGGTCCTTCACCCCCCTCCTTGAAGGCAACACCCTCGTTTATTCTGCTCACACAACACAAACCATGAGACACAGTGAACCAGGAGCACTGTGGCTCTTACGACAGGTGCCAAAGGCTGGCCCTTGCTCAGAAGGTGGGGCCTGGAAAAGACAATCATGCTAGGAAAGGTCGAAGGCAGCAGGAAAAGAGGAAGACCCAACAGGAGATGGATCTAGCCGTGTTAGTCTGTCTGTAGCAGTAGGAAAGAGCAAGAGTCCGGGAGCACCTTAAAGACTCACAAACATTTGCGGCAGGGGAGGAGGTTTCATGGGTCGCTGCTCACTTCTTCTGATGAAGTGAGCAGTGAGTCACTAAAGCTCACGCACGGCCACTTATTTTGTTAGTCTTTAAGGTGCTCCTGGACTCTTGCTCTTTCCTACTCCACCAGGAGATGGGTGTACTCAGTCAAGGAAGCCACAGCCCTCCGTTTGCGAGACCTGAGCGAGGCTCTTAACGACAGGACCTTTTGGAGAACATCAATTCATAGTCACCATAAGTCAGAAGCAATTTGACAGCATTTAACACATGCACACACACCAAAACAGGAAATAGCCTCAAGAATAAGCAAGTGTTATTTCAACTTTCCTTCCTACTGATTAAAATGTGTCTTCATTGATTAAAACTGGGGACCACTGATTAATCCACTAAAACTGTAGGGGATTTCTCACAGCTATTGACATATGTCTGGATATTTTATTTTGTAATATGAAACAGGGAACTGTGTACATAGAAAGGAATATGAGCTTAAAATAAGAGTGTTTTTTTTCATATTTCCCCACTGTTAATTTAAATTGGTTTTCTACTTCTTGTTTGTTCTTGTGGAGCCAGCCTTCCTGAGCGAAGACAAAAATGTGTGAGCCAGAGGCTAAAAAAACTGAGCTAGCTCACAGTAACTCAGCTTAGAGGAAGCACTAGTCAGAAGCGACTTGGCAACACTTAACACATACACACACAGGAGGCCGAACTAAGCCGAGCTCCCAAAGTTTGCAAACCCGACTTGTGTAGACTTAAGAGGATGGTGTAGGGCAGTGAGAGGAGGCGAAGTGAGCTAAGAGAGCAGGAGTGCTAAAGTCAATCCAAGTGGAGGAGTGAAGCTGTACTGGGGATCAATGTTCCCTGTAAGCTGTGGAGTCTTGTAAGCAAAAATTCTACTTTGTGAGCTACTGGCATTAAAGTGGTGAGCGAGCGATTGGGCTTAGACTTAAGAGGATGGTGTAGGGCAGCGAGAGGAGGCGAAGTCAGCAAAGAGAGCAGGAGTGCTAAAGTCAATCAAAGTGGAGGAGTGAAGCTGTACTGGGGGGGATCTAGCAGGAAATGAGGTCAGGGCTTTGCAGGAAGGAACCAGGAGTTCCGTGCTGAGTGCAGAAGAAGAAAAGCTGGGCTGTGTATGTGCAGAGAGCCCCTTTACACGCTTCATCTACCTAGCTCAGGGACCCTTCAGGATCTTGGGCAGAGAAAGGTCTTTCTCAGTACTTGTGACCTGAGATCCTTTATGGAGAAGCCGGGGACTGAACCTGGGTCCGTCTGCGTGTGCTCTCCCGCTGAGTTATGGACGCTTCCCCGAAGGAGAACTAGATGATCTGTGTGTCTAATCTAAATGCTCTCCCACTGAGTTACAGACACTTCCCCGAAGGCGAACTAGATGATCTGTGTGTCTAATCTAAAGTTCTCTTCTCGGTGGTGGATCATCAAGGGGTCAGGCTGAAAACCACAGATTCACAGCCCTCTTTCCAGCAGTCGTTTTCATTGGAGATGCCATGGACTGAGCCCAGGACCACCGGCATGCCAAGCATGTGCTGTGCTGCTGAGCCGTGGCCAGAGCCCCCGGGGTTTGGGATTCAGCCCTGTCGAACTCAGTGGGGTTTAGGGCCGATAGAAATAGATAGGATCGGGCAGTAAGTCTTGAATAATCCATTGCCAGTTTTGCCGATGGTGAAAAGATGCAGGTTTGAGTCTGTGCATGCCTGCTTCTTCTGGGGGGGGGGGTGTTTTTTTGCATTTGTGTGTGTGTGTGCGCGCCTGTGCCTGGAAGTCATGGTGACCTCTGGCGACTCCTGCTGGGGAACGGAGGACGGTCAGAGGAGTGGCTTGATAGCCTCCCTCTGCCTCCTGGCCCTGGTGTTATTTGGAGGCCTCCCTTCCAGTTACTTGCCAGGGTCGGCCCTGCTTCGCTTCCGAGATCTGGCAAAACCGGGCTTGCCGGGGCTATCCGGGTCAGGGCCACGCCCGTGGCTTTTTGAAAACCAGCACAGGTGGCAGACTTTGTAGAACTCTGCTTTCTAGCTTGCAGTTTTTAACAAAAACAAAATGTGCAGCAGTTTCCCTGCAAAGGGTTAGATTCCCCCTGAGCAAGGCTGAATCATTCCCCATATCAGCATCCTTTCCTGTCATTCCAGGCACTCTGGGCTGGCACTTCCCGAAGCATTTAACGCCGTCAGCTCCTTATAGTTTGCTCTTCTTTCTAATAAACTGTTCCGAACGCTCTGTTCTGGGGCTCAGTAACAGCCCCCCCCCCCACCGAGAGCAGCTGACTGTTTGGTACTGGCCCTAGGCTTGAGGCTAGAGAAGAATGTTGTCCTCGGGAGAAACGTTTGTGTGTGTGTGCTCTCGTTCCCTTTAGAAAGGATACTGCAGGGGCCAAAGATGGACTCGACCGCCAGGCTCACGGGCATTCCATGCCTCTCCAGATAAGCATCCTGGCCTCTCTCCCCAGCCGAAAGGCTTGGGTTTCCCTCGCCCAGTTCCCCCTGCTCCACTTTGGCTTTTTTAAAAAGTCTGGAGGCCAAGCTGGTTGATATACAGGCACAAACAGGTTCCCCTTCCGCTTCTGGGGGGGAGAGATGTGCCACTCCCCCTGATGTTGCCTCCTAACACTGGAGTTCAGAGCCGTAGGGCCTCTGGATGCAGAGATTCCCTTTTGTCATCAGGTCTAGTAGCTATTTTTGGGGAGTATTTTGTGTGCGTGCGTGTGTACCTTGAAGTCATGGTGACCTCTGGTGATTGACCCCTACTGGGGGCCTGAAGGATATTCAGAGAGGTGGCTGAGTAAAGCCTGCCCCCGCCTCTGGTATTCCAAGGAGGTCTCCCATCCAGGTACTTGCCAGAGTCAACCCTGCTTACATTTCGATATCTGACAAGCTCGAGCTTTCCTGAGCTATCCAGGGCAGGGCAGGGCAGGCCCAGTAGCTATTGATGGACCTCTTCTCCATGAAACTGCCTAATTTCCCCTGTTGGTCCCCGCCCCTCTTGGCCCCTGATACTCAGAGGTAGACTGCCTCTGCATCTGGAGGACAAAGTCTGAGTCCAGTGGCACCTTTAAGACCAATAAAGTTTAATTCCGGATATAAGCTTTCGTGTGCAGGCACTAAGAACATAAGAGACGCCAATGTTGGATCAGGCCAAAGGCCCATCCAGTCCAACACTCTGTGTCACACATTGGCCAGAAATACCAGTGCCATCAGGAGGTCCACCAGTGGGGCCAGGACATTAGAAGCCCCAACCCTTTTATCATTCGAGTTGCCCTTTTCTGCACTTTTTCCAAAGGTATAATATCCTTTTTAAGGTGTGGTGACCAGAACTGCACACAGTCTTGTTCAGATACATACTTTTTCATATGTGTATCTGAAAAAACATGCGTGCACGCGAAAGCTTATACCCAGAATTAAACTTTGTTGGTCTTAAAGGTAACTCCGGACTCAAACTTTGTTCTGTTGCTTCAGACCGACAACAGCTGCCCACCTGAATCCATCTGCATGTGGAGGTTTTGTTTACCGGTGGTTTCTTCCCTCCTTCACAACTCTGTCCAACTAAGCCAACGATTCTCGCTCTCCTTGTGGCGCACTGTGATCCCGGTGGCCAGAGTTGATTATATGTGGCCTTCACGATTCCATACTTGAACACAGGGCGCTGACTTAGTTCAGGACTGAGTGGCAGAAAGCTTTCAGGGTTTTCCCAATACCTTGTGCTAGACGCCATGAATGGAACCTGGCACCTTCTGCAGGCCGAGCACGTGTTCTGGGCCTGAGCCACAGACCCGCCTAACCTTTTTGAACCCCCTCTCCCCAGAGCAGGGAAGGGCTGCTATTCACGTGCTTGCTGAAACATCTCCCTCCTTTCTCTTGCAGGCTTGGGACATGGGCAAAGGATTCAAGATCCCCCAGGTCTACCAGTCCGGCGTCTTGGTTCTGGTGCTGACGGTTTTGTCTTCCATCGGGATTGCGGCAATGTGAAGTCTGGAAAGGCGGGGGGGGCAGGGGGGTCCATCCCTTAGCCCCCCCCACCCTCTGAAGTCTTCTGCTCCTCGACATCATGAACATTTTTTGATTAATTGAGGTCTCATGGGGGAGACAGCATGGGGTGGAGGGCAGGGCGAGCCCTTCCCCAGGTTGGGTGCACAGCTGTAAACTGAAACGAAGCTGTTCTTCGCAGGATGATTGTAGACCCTCCCTCTGCCATGCCCTGTAGGTTGAGGGCACCTTCCCCGAGATGGAATACACCAGACGCCCGATTGGCTAGGGATGCCCAGGTAGTGATTGGCTCAGACGCCACCGTACCCAGAATGCATTGTGAGTCACTGCTCATCTCTGGCTCCCCTCTTTTCCAGCCACCCTCCTGAAGCTGGAGACAATACAAGGCTTTGTACCCGGTTGGGGGAGGAGGGCGCACTGGCAGCGCAGCGGGTGAGCGAGCGTGTGGGTATATTTCTAAAAGGACAACTGTCCCCATTGATGGCTGGCAGCGAACGCAAGCAAGGCCACCTCCAGCGACCGTCCAGTGCCTCCGAGCAGCGGCGGTCAGGCTTCGGGCCTGTCGCTCGTTGGCTCTGCCACCTCTCGTTGCCATGACAACGTGCTGACATGTCGCATTGCTTTCTTGGTAGGTGTGGGTCACTGGCCAGCCCTATGAAACACCAGCATGCAGGGCAAAGGGAAGGAAGCGATGTACTTTTGGGGTAGGGGATTGGGGCACGGTCTCTGTTGGCCCTAAATTTGGGGGGGTGGGGGAACAGGACGGCCCAGCCAGGCCTGCTTCAGATCTTTTTGCGCTTCCTCAGTTTTCGTCTGACCAGAGCCGTCCCCGTAGACAGTCCTGGCCAAGCAAGACGGCTCTCTCTGACAAATGTGCCTCCGTTAACCGTCCGCTGTCAAAACGCTAAAACCCTTCCTCTCTCCTCGAACCCCACAACCTCCCTCCGGGGCTGCCAGGGCCGTAGTTTCGGGGATGGGCTATTTTGCAAAGCGGATGCCCTTTCTAGTAATAAACTGGCCTCAGGCGTTCACGGGGCATGGCAGAGCTGCTGGTCTGGTCTTTTGTATGCTTCCAAATAAAAACAGTTACAAAGGTTTCCTTTTAAGTTTAAACAATTGGTGTGGAATAGAGGATGGGGTCAGCGTGTGTCTCGCAGGCCTGTGGCCTTTGACGAGGAGCGCACAGGGGCTTGAAAATGGGGTGCTTTTTATTTACTTAGAACAGTTAGACGCCCCCTTTCTACCCAGTCAGGTCCCCAAGGTGGCAAACGGGGGAAAAGGGAGATTTGAACGATTAAGAATATGCTTAAAATTATAAAATAGTCCAATAAAACGCACACACCACGCTAGTTTTTTTCGAACACAAGTGCACGATGCCACCTCAGTGAAGTCGTTGCTTTTGAAGTAAGAAGCAATTTCATAAGCCCCATTAACGTGTTATAGTGAACACCATACGTGTGCTTGTGTAAGAAAGAGGCAATCTCCATTCAGTGTTACAAATGAAACCAGTGACTAGGACCTGGATAAGCGTGGGGTTTGTATCTCCCGCTATTAACAGTTGATTTCCAGATGACCCAAGATCAGCTCCCCTGGAGAAAATGGCTGCTTTGGAGGGCGGACTCTGTGGCGTCGTACCGTGCTGAGGCCCCTCCCCTTCCCAAGCTCCACCCCGCAGGAATTTTCCAGTCAGGAGCTGACAGCCCTACTTAAACTGAGCCAGTGGTTGAGTGCGCGGAGAACCGGGTTTGATTCCCCACTCCTCCACTTGCACCTGGCTGGATGACCTTGGGCAAGCCGTAGTTCTGATAAGAGCTATCCTTGAAAAAGAGCAGTTTCTGTCAGAGCTCTCTCAGCCCCACCTGCCTCACAGGGTGCCTGTTGTGGGGAGGGGAAGGGAAAGGGGTTTGTAAATCGCTCTGAGACTCCCTTGGGTAGTGAAGGGCGGCTATAAATCCAATCTACTACTACTACTACTACTAATGCCTGTAAGCAAGGACCATGTGTGCACATCTGTCTGTATAAATGTAATCCCCCCCCCCTTCATCCAAGGAACTCAAAGCCGTGTACCTATGAACACGTGGGGCTGCC